GTTGAACCGTATATGCACGCCGAGGCAAGACAAGTTCTGGCACCTATTTTCCGTATTTTTTAACTTTTAGCACCAAAATGCCGCCGGCCATCTTCCTTTGATCTACAACATCAGCTCCCTTCTCTCGTCCTCCTCCGAAGCGGGTGTGTGACGGTCTTGCGGCGGGGCAACAGCGACGGCACATTCCGGGAAGCGTCGAGCCATCTCTCAAACCAAACACAAACGTAACCATTCCATTCCTTTGAATTACGCACACCAAACACAAAGACGGAACCAACCCATTACAGTGAAACGGAACCATGACATTCCACTACAATCCGTTCGGGAACCAAACACACCCTTCATGTACCATCCCACGGTTGCAACACATCATACATGCATATTCCACCACACCATGGATGAGCGACCCCATGCACAAATTGCTCTGGGTGTTCATCAGCTGAGCCAAGTGACCATTGCACCGAGATGTTTTGTATTTGAAGCCGCCAAGGACACCCAGCATCTTTCATGTTCATGTTCAGGCATGAAACTCCCGAGTGTCAGTTTCAGATTACACGTACCTGTCGGCCAATCTGTGCATCACCATCAGGATGTGCTTGTCACGACTACAGGCAAAATGCCATTTCGCTGGGATAATACACCACCATCTAAGCACAATATATATACACAAGCACTTCACTACTATATCGCTTTTTTTTTCTCTTTTTTTCCAATTGTTTTACAGAATATCCGTACGAGAAACTCACTCTGAATACCACAACAGTTGCAGTGCACTCCGCTTATGTCGACATAGCCCACTTGCGGGGCAGAATCACATCGTAACCTTATAACCACGATGTACGATCGTGTTGGTACACAATACGTATGCGAAACAAAGTCACAAGAAAAAAGAATGCTACCCACAGCAGCCGATCTCTCCTTCCTCCCCGTCGATATCCATATCCACAGCGGGTGGTAATATGCTGTTGACATCCACGGAGGGGGGTGATATGCTGTCGACATCCACGGAGGGTGGTGATACGCTGTCGACATCCACGGAGGGTGCTGATACGCTGTCCTCCATTTCATCTTCGACCTCTTCTTCGATGTCTCTCTTCATGAAAAGCCCGAGCCTCTCCAGCGGGCTTCCGAGGCCAGGTGGGAGCTCCATCCCGTCGACGAAATCCACAATTAGCTTGGCAGGAGGGTTTAGTTCCCACTTTTTGCTGATGTTTTCCAGGTCCTTTAGGAAGTCGCTGTTGTCAATGTCAACGGTCTTCTTCATCTGCAAAAAGGAAAAAGGTTGAATAGCCACGGTGGGACATCAAGCTTAGAGACTCGCTGGATGGTCGCAGGACAAGCAGCTACTACCATGTGTAGTGCCAGGCGTGCTGCCTCTCTTTCTCGCTCCCTCTTCTTCCTTAATTCTTCATCTAACTTGAACTGTGCAGCAGCTTCAGCGGCCTTCACCTGGGCTTCAATCCTTTCTTTCTCTGCAGGCATAGAACGAATTTGGAGGAAGCCATAATAAGGTCAGCATTAACTCAATGTCAACGTGGAACAGAAGAGTACGACTTAAAAATGAGCCATACAGAATATATTTTTAAAGTTTCTCTTCTAAATTTTGGAGTTCATGTTGTTGCCCATAATCAACACTGGCATATTGCTATATACTCCCTCTGTTCATTGAAGTTAGGTATATTTGTTTTTGAGATAAATTTCAATTTGTTAGGTGTATTTGCTTTATTTCCATTGAACTGCAGATTCTACCCAAAATAAATCCCACAGCCATTTTTTTTGGAAGCTGTGCTTCATTTATGCAGTGGTCCAAGTTATTTTTTCGAAGGATAATTAATTTTTCACCCATAATTATGCCTGTAATCACCAAACTAAGCAGGGATATTTCTGTCCCAAATCCTCCATTATTGTTCCCAAAAAATATAACATTATCGGATGTCCCCTAAGGGACAAATATAACTAACATTAAGGAATGGAAAGATTATAGACTATAGAGTACTAGGTCGGTACAGGAGTAAGTCAGTTTGTACCAAACAACCCACAACCTTTAGTGCCTAAGACTTGCATACCAAACGCTACAGTTTTTTCGAAAAAACTCCCAGAACCAAGAACCAACTCATCCATCTTATCATATCAAACAAATAATAGCTACTCTTTGAAAAAATATCGATCGATGTTATGAATTCTTCCTACCTTGATTGCCTACAAGCAACAGGACTTCCTTTAATAGAGAAGCTACAAACTGACAGTGTAACTGACAGGCAACTGCCATAATTAACTGATACGTATCTAAGCATCTTTCATTTACTAACCAGATTGTATTTTACGTATTGCCAACATACTTCAGATAGGATCAAAATAAGTACAAAAATTCATGACCCTTGCCAGTGTGTACACATGCCTCAATTTTGTAAGGACGCTCTTCCTTTTGACAACTTTCATGTTGAATAACAGCAATATCTGTATCATATCATGCTAACAAAGTAAAATACAATGTTCCAATGTATGGACACTCCACTAGTAACGGAAACATATGGCAAAATAGGACGTAGAATGACTAGAGACAAAGTTCAACTCTTCCAAATTGGTTGGCACATGGATGGTTTCGAGCAAGAGGAAAAGGCAATATAGAGCAACACAGATGAGAAAGAAGATACTTGGTTCATCAACAACCATTTTAAGAGTGGATCAGGGTTAAGGCATATAACCCATTTCCGTAGCACGCAATAACTATCACTTCCTAGCCAGTACACAATGGTAACTAACGATGCCAAAATTAGCTGAACTAGGTGAAACATCACTATAAGCCAAGGCATGAAATACACAAATTACGGACTGTACAAATAAATCCGGGGAAGGGACACTTTTGGCATTCTTTTTATTGTTGTGCACAAGAATTAAGGTCTGATGACTAATAAACTTGTTCAGAAAACATAATCCATCCATTAGTGAACTATCAAGATAAAATATCAAGCCTCACTTTCGCATCTCTTATTGTTAGTGCCATGTCAGCATGTGAGACTCTAGTGAACAGTTGCCACTGCCAGCAATCCCAGCATTGAACAGGCCCATTTTGAACAAGTTTCATATCTTATTAACCCTCTGTTCCTAAATATAAGATGTTTTGGCAGTTCAGGCAGCTCACTTTAAACTGCCAAAACGTCTTACATTTAGAAACAGACGTAGTACAATTCGATCAAGTATATCTTAATTTTGGAATGAGAATTCAAAGTATCTTATTTTGGGCATGAGAATTCAAACAAGTTTAGCTTATTTTCTGCGTGAAAAACTCAAACAAGTGTAGTTCATTTTGGGTTTAAATGAAAAGATGTCCCATTTAAAGAACAGGATTACAAGTCCACATGACTACGAGAGAGCTCAGTGCACATATAAGATACCTGACCAAACTCACAGAACTGGTAAACATATCCAGACTATATAAAATTGCTGATCAGAAGCTCGTGGCTAATTATTACCTTCTTGCTGCCTTTTTTCCAGCCTCTCCTTTTCCAACTGTAATTTTGCAGGGTCTATTTGCTGCCCCTAAGAAAAAGATCAAAACAGCACATCAGCCAGAACTGCAAGTGCAGCAGAAAACTTGCCGACTAAATAGCATAATGTAATACTAATGTACAAATTTTAGCATCTATATTACAGAAAATTACATGGTCCAGAAGTGCCTTCTGCTGTGCCTTCACAATCGTTCCAGCAAAACGTCTCTTAAGCATTGCTGCACGAAGGGCCTTGGCTGGTGACAAAGGTTCAGCTTGTAAATAACTTCCATCTCCTGAGATTCACATCACAACATGCATTGCATTAGCAACCAAATATATGGCAACAAGATTGTGCCAAGTTCCTAATTGTTATGTTATCACCACAGATAAAGAGTTAAACAATAATTACATGAAGATATGATAAAAAAGGGCAAGGTGATAGAACCTTGTCCATAGGAAGAAAGAGGCGAAGTTGAAGTATCACTGCAAGACCGTGATTCATTTCCTAGGATAGCAAACAAAAGCATTATCAAAACAGATGGCATAGGATACAATTAGATGGAATTCATCAACATACCAATCGACTGAACTCTGTGCTCACTTGACTGGACCTTAGTTGTGTTAGCGCTCTCCTACAGATAGAATAGAAGTCTTAGGAGGGACAACTGAGATTTTGCTTCACAAATGATGTGCCATAAAACTAAATACAGAAATGCATCAAACAGAAACAAAGGGAACTCATTGTCGAAACCTTGGTGCATGGGATAGAATGATGTATTGTCGAAACCTTGGTGCATGCGATAGAATGATGTAAAGAGCCCTCTTTGCTACCAGCTGCTTGCACAGGCGTCTCTGGATTAAAAAACATCTATAACCATGACAAAAGAGTATAGTCCTGAAAAGTTTGTGGCGCATAATGATAAGAAGTTACACCATTCACACCTTTGGATAAGGTCTGCCCCGAGCCACGCACACAAAACTTAATTTTTACCTGTTCATACAACATATAGCAGTACATTAAAATCATATTGCCATTAGGATGACAAAATACCAAATAATCAAGTGAATGAAGGTATCAGGTGGCCTTACTTTGGAGGATATTGCATTTGTCAATGTCTTCTTTGCAGATGAATCTGAGCATGCGACCAGCCCTCTAGAAACCACTGGCTTTGAATTGACAGCCACATGAGCCTTAATTACCTTCATCGGCAACTGCACTGGCTTCAGATTTCTGTCGCTCCATTTTCTTTCATATGATGTCCATTCAGAATTAAACATTATATTCAGCTGTTCAGCTACTGTGTGAACCTGATTTCCAGGAGGATTATACGTCATTGCATTTGAAAATGTTAGTCTCACATCTGCTGCAAACTCATCGGTGCTTAAATAATTCTTGTTTGTGAGTTTCTTCTTGACAGTGCCCAAGTCCATTGGATTGCGGATAACATCAAAGTAATCAGGAATGCCAAATAGGTCCGGATCAACCGGTTTATGGAAAAGCCAACCACCTGGGTGATCCATGAGCTTCCCCAGAATATTTCTACAGACCCTTGTCTTGCTAGCATTCATGCTTCCAGCCTTGTTGTTAGAAGATGGTCGATGCTCAGATGAAGAAATTGACGTCGTTCCAGATTTTTGAGACCGTTTACTTCCCTCCACCTCTGAATCTGTACCAGAATCTTCCGATCCACTGCTTATATAAACTGACCTCCGCCTCTTACAGGCTTGCGTGGTCATTGTGTTTGGTTTATTACTTTCTGATTTTGGCAAATGACCAGTAACTTCAGGCTTCATGATGCCCTCTCCGATAGGCACACATGGTACATACAGCACAGCTTCTCTCAGTCAGCTGAAAACAGAATATTCAGTCAGAAGCAAGCTGCTTAAAATGCCGAGATAATCATAAGGCAGACAGGAAAAAGAAGACGGAAGACAATGAGACCTGGTCATGTACTATCCATTCTGGAGGAACAGTTTATCTTGACTGAACAGAACCTATGGCGATATAGAGAAAAATACAATCCATGAAATAACAACACTAACAGCCCATACAGACAATGAATGGTCACTACATTCCTTATTTTCAAAAGAGGAAAGTAGGAACTCTGAATCTGGAACAAAATGTGTGCGGAAAGTATGGAGTTAATGCCCCATAATCTGTGGCAGCTAGTAACAAAACAGAAGGGTGAACACAGTAAACGTAACGTGCATAGAACACAGAGGAAAATCATCAAATATTTCCAAGTAATAATCACAATCCATAGACAATTTTCCAAAAAGGGGCAACTTGACGTTCAATTCCACCATATTTCCTTTTTAACCATTTTGTTCCCAAGGAGGAGATACATATGAAGTTTTGCAAAGGTTGCTTTTGGCTGTCCAAGGGAAAGCCAATGAGGCTGCTCATGAGCTAGATAGGAATAGCTTCCAACTTTCCTTATCCTCTGTTCGGGATGTTTACCCCCTAGTTTTATTTTGCACATGATCGGAAACGGTGTGCGTTACAACCCCGACTACCCAGCATATACTACGCTGGTGACTAGTACAGATCCCCCAAGGACTACTGCGAATATGTCACCAGGATGGAAGCAGGGTATTATCCTTAACTCGGTTCCATGGTGTTTGTTAATTAATATAAGGCTAGCCGAATGGCTTTTACTAGGAAAAAATGGTTTTTTCTCTTCTCCTAGTAATAAGAAGCTAAGAAACGGCCTATTGGAGACGAGATTCCCAACATACCCAAAAAGCCTCAATTGTGCTAGAGTGGAGAGCCCAATTAGCGCAAGACCATCTATGATTCTAGGGTTAACGGCCTATTGGAGATGAGATTCCTGACACGATACCACGAGTCCTTATTATGCGAGGCTAGGCGCCTGGTTATCCAATCCCCAATCGAAGGGGCCACCCCAAATTGCCAAGAACCCCAACCCATTAACCCTAGAATCATAGATCGGACCCTCGTGGCGTGTGCGAGAGAGATAAAAGAACCAACCTGAGCGTGTCTTCGCCGGGGCGGGCGGGGAGCAGCCCCCCTGGAGGTTCCTTCGGAATCCTTGGCCCCGGAGGGGGAGGCCTCCGCTGGCGTCGCGGGGAGCCGGAGACGTGCACGCGCGCGGAGGCTAGGGTTTCGGCCCGGGCTCCGCGTCGAGGCGGGGCGTCGGGGGCGGGCGGTGGAACGAGGCGGCGGGGGACGGACGCGGGAGGATGGGGCCGGCGGGGGACGGCGCTGCAGGCGGGGGATTTGGGCGCGGTGCGTGGGGAGCGGTGGCTGG